CGGAGTCTCGCTCTGTCATCCAGGCTGGAGTGCAATGGCGTGATCTCGGCTCACTGCAACCTCTGCCTCCCGGGTTCAAGTGATTCTCCTGCCTCAGCCTCCTGAGTAGCTGGGATTACAGTCGCCTGCCATAATGCCCGGCTAATTTTTGTATTTGTAGTAGAGACGGGGTTTCACTATGTTGGTCAGGCTGGTCTCGAAATCCTGACCTCATGATCCACCCACCTCAGCCTCCCAAAGTGTTGGGATTACAGGCGTGAGCCACTGTGCCCGGCCTTGCATTTCTTAAAGCAGAGAAAATAGGTCAAATTCTCTGGGGTTGAGCAAATGCATTGGAAATGAAAGCTGTCTTCAGAACCTTGCTTACTTGTCCTGGGTTCCTGCTGTGACTTAGCTTTTGATCTGAGCATTTCTTAGTATCTTGCCACCTCTTGCATGTACTGCAGGGTTTTTTTTTTAAAGTTCAAAAAATATTTAACCAGCGTTTTAGTTATTTCCTCTAGTATGTACTGTAGAAAACAGGCAACTCTTCCATATCTCTTTTCTTTTCTTAATTTTCTTTCTGAGACAGGGTCTCACTCTGTTGCCTAGGTTGGAGTGCAGTGGTGAGGTCTTGGCTTACTGCAGCCTCCACCTTTCGGGTTCAAGTGATTCTCATGCCTTAGCCTCCTGAGTATCTGGGATTACATTATAGGTTATGCACCACCATGCCCAGCTCATTTTTGTATTTTTAGTAGAGATGGGGTTTCGCCATGTTGGCCAGGCTGACCTTGAACTCCTGGCATCAAGTGATCTGCCTGCCTTGGCCTCCCAAAGTGCTGGGGTTACAGGCAAGAGCCACTGCGCCCAGCCCCCCTTTTTTTTGAGATGCAATCTCACTCTGTCGCCCAGGCTGGAGTGCAGTGGTGTGATCTTGGCTCATTGCAATCTGAGGCAATTCCTTGCCTTAGTCTCCAGAGTAGCTGAGATTACAGGTGCCCACCACCAAACCCAGCTAATTTTTTTTTGTATTTTTAGTAGAGACAGGGTTTCACCATCTTGGCCAGGTTGGTCTTGAACTCCTGATCTCATGATCCACCTGCCTCAACCTCCCAAAGTGCTGGAATTACAGGCGTGAGCCACTGCGCCTGGCCTCCTTTTTAAAAAAAATTTATTTTAATTTATAGAGATGGGGTCTCACTATGTTGCCCAGCCTAGTCTTGAAATCCTGAGCTCAGGAGATTCTCCTACCTCAGCCTCCCTAAATTCTGGGATTACAGGCATGAGCCACTGCAACCAGCCCTTTTTCTTTCTTTTTAAATTTTATTTTAATTTATAGAGATGGGGTCTCACTATGTTGCCCAGGCTGGTCTTGAACGCCTGAGCTCAAGCCATCCTCCCACCTCAGCCTCCCAAAGTGCTAGGATTTATAGGCCTGAGTCACCTTGCTTGGCCATATCTTTTTCAAGTCTTTCTTTCTTTTGTCTACAATTTTGGGGTTCAACACATATCTCAGGGTTCATTATCTCTCAGAGGTTTTCCCTAAAATCCCTGCTGGAATTAATGGCCTCTGCCTCATTCTTATCACATTGTATTGCAGTTTACCGGTTTCTTCCCTATCTTATTCATTCCCTCTATGTCTGTGTGTTCTTTGAGGATTTTTTTTTTTTTTTTTTTTTTTGAGACGGAGTCTCGCTCTGTTGTCCAGGCGGAGTGCAGTGAGGCTATCTTAGCTCACAGCAAGCTCTTGACTCCTGATCTTGGTCTTGAACTCCTGATCTCATGATCCGCCCGCCTCGGCCTCCCAAAGTGCTGGGATTACAGGCGTGAGCCACCGCGCCCGCCTCTTTGAGAATGTTTAAATGTTCTTGATTTTTAAAAATCTGTGTATTTCCTGGCCTAGCAGAGTACCTAATACCAGTTGGATTTATTTATTTACTTACATATTTTCTAGAGACAGGGTCTCACTATGTTGCCCAGGCTGGTCTCAAACTCCTAGGCTCAAGCTTAGTTGGATTTAAAATTAACTTTTGTTACCTCCAGGCGCAGTGGCTCACGCCTGTAATCCCAGCACTTTGGGAGGCGGAGGCAGCCAGATCACGAGGTCAGGAGATAAGACCATCCTGGCAAACACAGTGAAACCCCATCTCTACTAAAAACTACAAAAAATTAGCCGGGCGTGGTGGCACACACCTGTAGCCCCAGCTACTTGGGAGGCTGAGGCAGGAGAATCGCTTGAACCCAGGAGGCGGAGGTTGCAGTGAGCCCAGATCGAACCACTGCACTCCAGCCTGAGCGACAGAGCAAGACTCCATCTCAAATAAATAAATAAGGTTAACATTTGTTGATAGTAAATGGTATAGGTTATGGTAACTTGGCCTTCCCAATTTAGGACTACAAAAACAAACAAACAAAAACAAAGGAGGAAAGCACACAAATCCTTTGTATATAATTTGCATACCACACACCTCTGCAGGACACTAGCCTGTTTTTTTTTTTTTTTTTTTGAGATGGAGTTTTGCACTGTTGCCCAGACTGGAGTGCAGTGGTGCAATCTCAGCTCACTGCAACCTCCACCTCCTGGGTTCAAGCGATTATTCTGCCTCAGCCTCCCGAATAGCTGACATTACAGGCATCTGCCACCATGCCCAGTTAATTTTTTGTAATTTTAGTAGAAATGGGGTTTCACCATGTTGGTCAGGCTGGTCTCGAACTCCTGACCTCAATTGATCCGCCAGCCTTGGTCTCCCAAAGTGCTGAGATTACAGGCATTAGCCACTGCACCCTACCCTTTTTAAAAAATCTTTTCTGAGACAGGGTGTTACTCTGTCACCCAGGCTAAAGTACAGTGGCATGAACTTGGCTCATTGTCGCCTGGTCATCCTGGGCTCAAGTGATTGATGGCGCCTCAGCCTCAGGAGTGGCTGGGACCACAGGCACCACACCCAGTAGTCTCAGCGACTGGGGAGGCTGAGGCAGGGGGATCGCTTGAGCCTGGGAGGTCGAGGCTGTAATGAGCTGAGGTTGTGCCACTGCACTCTAGCCTGGGTGACAGAGCGAGACTCTGTCTCTCTCTCTTTTTGGTAGAGAGAGGATCTCACTATGTTGCCCAGGCTGGTCTCAAGCCATCCTCCCACCTTGGCCTCTAAGTGCTGAGAATACAGGTGGGAGTTACAGTGCCTGGCCGAAACCAGTCTCTTTCCACAGGAATTGATACTTGTTTATTCTGCTCATGGATGTGATGGCTACCTGACCCAGGAAAATCCAGGTATGGTTCCATTATGAGGAATCCACACCCATTAAGACGCCAGCTCTAAGTGGCAGGTGAAGTATCCAGGAGAGGATGTGGCATGCAAATTGTGTCAGAAGGATTTATCTATTCTGGAATCCATACTGGTTCCCAAACAGAAAAAAACATTCTCATTCCCAGTGTCGTACAGTTTTTTGGAATGACTGGGAGCTTAGATGGCCAGAATGCTCTAAGTTTGATGCCATTTGGTCATTTTCAGGACGTTTCTTGAGTCTTCAATTTTTCTTAGTTTAATAAAGAGTTTAATAAACTTCTGCCCAATAACCAGTAGGCTATGTCTAATGTACTGTGAATTTTTTTTTTTTTTTTTTTTTTTTGAGACGGAGTCTCATTCTGTCACCCAGGCTGGAGTGCAGTGGCACGATCTCGGCTCACTGCAACCTCTGCCTCCGGGGTTCAAGCGATTCTCCTGCCTCAGCCTCCTAAGTAGTTGGGATTACAGGCATGTGGCACCACACCTGGCTAATTTTTTGTATTTTTAGTACATGGGGTTTCACCATGTTGGTCAGGTTGGTCTCGAACTCCTGACCTCAAGTGATCCACCTGCCTCGGCCTCCCAAAGTGCTGGGATTACAGGCGTCAGCCACCGCTCCCGACCTGTATTGTGAATTTTTGAAATGAACCTAATTCCTACTTTACAGCAAAGTTTTTTCTCTCCTTCCTTTCTTCCTTTTTCCTTCCTTCCGTTTCTTCCTTTTCTTTCTTTCTTTTTTTTTTTTTGAGACAGGGTCTGGCTCTTTCGTTCAGGCTGGAGCGCAGTGGCGTCATTTCGGCTCACTGCAACCTCCGTCTTCTGGGTTCAAGTGATTCTCATGCCTCAGCTTCCCGAGCAGCTGGGATTACTGGTGCCCGCCACAACACCCGTCTATTTTTTTGTATTTTTAGTAGAGACAGGGTTTCACCATGTTGGTCAGGTTGGCCTCGAACTCCTGACCTCAGGTGATCCACCCACCCCGGCCTCCCAAAGTGCTGGGATTACAGGCGTGAGCCGCCGCACCCGGCCTGCAGCAGAGCTTTTCATATGAATTGTGTGGCTTAATTTTTTTTTCTTTGGAAGTTAAATTGCAAATGTTATATCTTTGGGCTCAGCTTTTTGAATTCTAATTCTTCAGCGGGCCGGGGGCAGGGGGCGGTGATAGAGGCGGCTCTTAGAGGGAACTCATTCTTTGACTCCGCCTTAGATCTGGCTAAGCGGATAGAAAACGACCCTGCCTCGCTTTGTTTAAAGACGCAGGGTTCTAGCGTGGTGTTTCCCGCCCCCTACCCTTTTCGTCTTAAGCTTACCACGTTCCAGATACCGCCCAGATCAATTTTTTATCACAGCTGTCATTCTCATTTTTACAGGCATGAAAAGTGCGACTCAAGTTCAGTGTCTTGCCTCGGGTAGCTCGGGGATTCCCAGTCAGCTCCTCGCGACTTCGTCGCCGCTCCCCTTCCACCCCGCGCCTTCGCCGGCCGTCCCCTGCTCCATCCAGGCCACGGGGGAGACGGTGGGGTCTGGGGCCATCCAGGCCTGGCTGGGCGCGAGAGCTTCTGGCCCAAGTCCACGCCCGAAATCGTCCTGATCAGTCTGGCTTTTCTGGTCCCCCCAGCCTTGCGGTAGCGGAGACCTAGAAACCATCGAGCTGACAGCCCAGAGCGTCGCTCCCCGGCCGCCGAGCGCTGACGCCGCGCCGGGGGCGGGGCAGCTGGAGGCCGCGGGGAGAGGAGAGAGCTGCCGGGAAGGGCTGGCTGGCCTCGCAGCGCCCCGCCGCGGCTGCGGCCGGAAGCGGTCTCGTTGGCCCTGCGGCGCTGGAGCCCTGACGCACGGAGCTCGAGAGCGAGAACGGGAGAGAAAGGGGTAGAAATGGCGGCTCCGCTCAGCTCCCGCTGAGGAGGGCGAAGCCGGCGGAGTGTCTGTGCTGCCGCCTGCAGCACCGCCCCCGCTTCCCGCTCGCCGCTTGCTCACGCCGACTTCCCTTCCTCTGCCCGGCTCTCTCTTGTGCTCGTCTGCGCTCTGCACGCTCCGGACCGGCTCGTCTCTCACTGCCCGGCTCGGCTCCGCTGGCCCTGACTGACCGGCCGGCGGGCCGGCCTTGCTCGGCTCTCCCGGGCGCGGCGTGGACTCCGTCCCCCTGGCTGGACCATGGTGAACACCCGGAAGAGCTCTCTCCGCCTTCTCGGATCCAAGTCTCCTGGTCCCGGGCCTGGGCCTGGGGCCGGAGCAGAGCCTGGGGCGACCGGAGGCAGCAGCCATTTCATCTCCTCTCGGACCCGCTCCTCCAAGACCCGCGCCGCCAGCTGCCCCGCCGCCAAGGCCGGGGGAAGCGGTGGCGCCGGCGTCACTCTGGATGAGGCCAGGGTAAGAGCGCGGCGTCCCGAGTCCGGAGGCTCGGAAGTGCCGGCCCGGCTGCCGAGGCTTTGTCTGGCCGGGTTGGGGGCAGGAAGCCTCCAGTGGAGACTGCTCGGGCGGCTGGAGACAGGGTCTGCGGGCGCGGTGGAGGGTGGCACCCAGGAGAAGGGCCGCGACGCTGTCCCCTTTGCTTTTCAAGCTGGCCCGGCTCTTTTGTGTAAAGAACAGCCCATGAGTCCAGGGGAGAGGGCTTTGGGGGTCCCTTTCGGGGTCATTCGAACGATCTGCTGTCCTTGTCCTTGTCCTGCCCCAGAGGGGAATTCTAGCGGGGAAGCAAGAGCGAAGGGCCAGAACCCCTGGGTGGAAGGGTTGGAGAAGTGAAAGTTTTCTGCGGTGTCAAACCCTTCTTGAAAGTGTGTCAGTTCCTGCCGCTGTCTAACTCCAGCTTACTCTCAGTTTGGGGGTGGTTCAAGTTGGTGAGGAAGTGAACAGAGAGCTCCAGTTGGCAGCCAGGCAGGGATGCTGAAAAAAGTTTGTAGCTGCTCTGACACCAACTTTAAAAACAAAATCAACGCTATCGCCTCTCCAGGCAGGAGAGATCAAACATGATATTATAGCTGGGGAACCAGCCAGCTAGCTCACCAAGGTGCTGGTAGGAACCAGAGCTTTCAGGTCACAGAAGGAGCACGTCGAAAGAAACAAGTGGAATGTTTCGGATAGTCAGCACTATCGTGCCAAAACTGTGTGGTTTCTTGGGTGTCTACATTTTCGTTATGGGACTACATTACAAAAGTTGAATGAACACCAGTGTTGTCATGCAGTTGCAAAAATGACATTTGAAGACCCTGGTGATTGAATTAAAAAAATGATTGAAAGATCTTAAAATTTTATTACCTACAGTATAAAGCTAAGCACAGATATTTATTGCTTTAAAAAGGAATTGACACGTTTATTTTACTATGAAATTGTTTCTGAATTCAGAGAAGAGTGTATTGCTTCTGTCTAAAAGAGACTGACTTGCTAAGTAATTTGGCTGGAAAATGCTGTTCATTTAAAATGCTTCTTTAATTCCACACCATTTTGTGGTTCTTACTGGGGGGAAGCAATATTTTACGTTCTAGGGGTCTACAAGATCGCGGTTTGTGTGTGCTTTTTCTCTTTGTGTCTTAAACTGTTTTGACACTAACAGAACGGATCTAGGCAGAGACAACAGGAATATTTTACGATACTACTCTGAAATATTTTTATTATATCTTTGAAAATCGTCTTAACTTTTATTTGATAAAATTTTGGGCATTATAACTGTCCTATGTAATAGACTATTTTGGGGGCTTACGAATCTCTTAGGTTGAAATAAGGTTAAATCTGAAAGTTGTGCAAACTATTGAGAATAAGTACTTTGAAGACGAGGCTTTCGGTAGAAACTATTCCAAACATGTTCCAGCTTCTTGACCTACTGAGGCTATCACATATTTAAAAATAAAACTCAATTTAAGAAAATATCTTTTCTCTACATTTAAGGACAAAGAAAATATTTAGGGTGTAAGCATTTAATTGTATCATGCTATGTGAGTGCCTAGTCTATTAGAGCAGTGTCTAACTCATCTGCAGCAATTAGCTCATCTTCACTCATCAGTTTGTGGTCCCATTTTTGAATTCATGGCTATCATGCTGTCCTTACCCCCTGAGGAATAAGGTGAGGTAATTTGTCAAGCAGCTGTTATAGAGATGTTAAAAGGCTAGGAATCAATAATCTAATGAGGAAATGAACGTTTGGTAGCTTTTAAATTGCTAAAAGAATGAAAGATATGAGAGCTCTTTGTAGAAGGGTACTAATGAAACTTTGTTTCAAAGATCCTTTTAAAATGTTTTAAAGCACCATAAATAACAGGCTACTAAAGATTTACTTTGAAATATTTGTTTTTCAGTCTTAAGAAGATTTATGTTATGGCTCTAGGAGATGATGGAGTGATCTAATTGCTTTCTCTGAAAGGTTTTTTAGAGACTTACTACTCTTACATAGCGATTGGACCTTTAGAAGAGGATAAATTATAATTCTGAATTTATTAAGATTATGGACTACATATTTATGAAGCAGGTTGTATATTTATGGTTAGCTCTTCTCTAGTTTTGTAGGAATTGAGCACTCCTGGTTCACCCTTTGTGAAGTACTTAAAGGCACCCTCTATGTCTGTGGGATCTATAATAGACATTTGCCAGTGTCTGTAAAGTCTTATTTGATGCAAAATGGGGTTGCCCATGTTGTTGCTTCAGCAGACCCTTATTTTTGTAAAAAGAAATGTAGTCTTGTTTGTAACATAATATTCCTGTTTGTAATTGAGGAGTTTCTCCTTTTTCTGCTTTTGTGCCATGTTTTTAACTAACTACACTTGATGCCTATTTCCCCCTCTTTTCCCTCTGTTTTTAGATTATTTCATTCACTGTGTCCAGAGACATTTTATTTGCTTTAAAAAGTCATAGCACTATGAGCTTTTCTTATAGTTTTGTCTTCTTCCCTAGTGGTGTATGCATAGGATGGGGGAAAATATGCATTCTGCAGATTATTGGAATTATTTTCTTTTTTTTTTTTTTCAGTATGAAAAGCCTTTTTTTCTTTTTTGACATATAAAAGGTGGTAGTGTATATAACTCTGTGAGTTTAGAGATAAGTATATATTTGTGAAACTACCACCACCATCAACACCACAGACATGTCCATCATTCCTAAAGTTTCCCTGTCCCTTTTATTATGAATGTATTATTAGTATTATTTTTGTGGTAAGAACACTTGATATAAAATCTGCCCTCTTAGACAATTTTAAGTATGCAATGCAGTATTCTTAGATGTAGGCACTATGCTATATAGATCTCCAGAACTTATTTATCTGGCATAAGTGAAACTTGATTGCCTCCCCGCAAGACCCTGGCAATCACCCTTCTACTCTCTGCTTCTGTGAATTTGCTAGTTTAGATTCCACATATAAGTGAGATCATACAGTATTTGTGTTTCTGGAACTGGCTTGTATGATTTAGTGTAACGTCATCTAGGTGCATTTGTGTTGTTGTGAATGGCAGGATTTCCTTCTTAGGCTTAATAGTATTCCACTGGGCATGCACACATATACACCACGTTTACTACATTCATCTCTTGTTGGACATTTAGATTGTTTCCATATCTTAGCTATTATGAATAATGCTACTGCGAACATGGGAGTGCAGATGTCCGTCGAAATCCTGATTTCAGTTCCTTTGGATAAATACCCAGAAGTGGGATTGCCGGATCATATGGTAGTTCTATTTTTAATTTTTTTGAGGAACTTTCATACTGTTTTCCATAGTGGCTGCACCATTTTCCATTTCTACTGACATGTACCAGGATTCCCTTTTTTCCACATCTCCCCAATATTTGTTGTCTCTTGTCTTTTTGACAAGAGCCATTTTGACAGGTGTGAGGTGATATATCATTGCGGTTTTGAATTGCATTTCCCTGATGATTAGTAATGTTGAGCAGCCTTTTTATATACCTGAGAAGTGTCTATTTAGTTAGGACCTTTTTTTTTTTTTTTTTTTTTTTTTGGGACAGGGTCTTAGGAGTGGTTCACTGCAGCCTTAAAATCCTGCTTTGCCCATTAACAAATGTTTTCTTCCTGTGGAGTCGCAGGACTACCCTATGTATTTTGGAAATTAACTGCTTATCAGATACATGGTTTGCAGATTTTTCTCCCATTCTGTAGATTGCCTTTGTGCCCACACTTTTAAATTTTCTTATTTTTTTTTTCCTCCCTTATCATTACCCACAATGCCCACACTTTTAAAATGTCAGGCTGTCTTTTAGTGCTATGCAGTTAGATGTAATTACTCCTATACACTGTGACTTTTTTTTTTCTCCAAGCTTTCATAAAGCTTGACCTGTTTTAGGTCGGTTAATCTGGCCCTCAGTCATTAGCGTTTATTTGCTGCACCTAGGTGTCACTCCTAGTAAACAATCTAATACTGTATTCATAAAACTGGACAGCAATCTTTGAAAAATATTTGAACTCTTTTTTCTACCTCTCCTTGTTAGGTTTGGTTGCTGGTATTTCTGACTTTTTTTGCTAGCTTTTTGGGATTTTTGAGATAATCATTGACTGTGAATCCCCATCTTGTGAGATCAAAATAAATATTTTGAGTAACTTTAGAAGTGAAATGCTGTATTACTTTATTTTTATTTAATTAAAAAAATCCCTAGGTCCTTCTTTAGTATACTTTTATCACCCTGTGCTTTTCCCTTTCCAACACTCATGCATTTGCCAACATAACAAAGCAGAGTGGTCGAAGTTGAGGGTTAAAGAGGTAAAAGAAGTCTAAGGGGGAAATCTCATAATGTATGTAACTCTCAGATGAGCAGGGGAAACTATAAGTTCCTCAGAACAGAGCAAGTTTTTCCTTATACTGTATCAGATTCACATGGAGTACAATATAGGTAATATTGTAACATGACTATGTTCCCTGCCACAATTTCGAACCAAAGCAATGGTGGAGTTCATAGGATTGTCTCTGGTAGCCAAGTGAAAATGCAGCTTAAATTCAGTTACTGGCTATTTTTGTAGTCCACATATACACACATTCTGTTGTTTAGGTCATGAATGAAACTTATAAAGCCTATAGAAGTGAATGCATACTAATTCCTTAAATCATTTTCCCTGGCAATAAGTCTTTTAAACCATCCTTTGGTAGATGTTTTATTGCATGTCTCCTAAATACCCAATTATAGATAAACTCATAACTTTTGGAATCCAGCTGGACAAGTGGTAGAATTACTACTGTTAGGAGAACTGAGAAGCCCAACCAGTGTTTGCACCTGAATGTTGAGTGATCCTGTCTATTCAAGGATCTAAGTACCATATTACTTTGAATGATATGTTTGGCATTTCTTTTTTTTTTTTTTTTTTGAGACGTAGTCTTGCTCTGTCACCCAGGCTGGAGTGCAGTGGCCAGATCTCAGCTCACTGCAAGCTCCGCCTCCCGGGT